TTTTAATTAAGTAAAATGTGTGACATCTAGCATCTCTCTTATGACGTGAAGAATTGGTTACAAAAACCTGTTGAAGGATGAAGACATGAAGGACATGAAGGATTGGCTACAAAAACCTGTACTGCTAAAGAAAATGTATTCATGCTCACAAAACGTTATTATAATCCCTGTGACAACTAGTACCAGTCTCCCTTACATTACTGCAAAAAAAAAAAAAATCCCAAGAGCTTGGATGGGATGTATTTATTCAATTTAATATTTAAGATAGTAATATAAATTAATAATAATAATTAGGAATAGAAATGTACTTGTGATATACAAATAAATATGATCAATGAATAAACAATGAAATAAATAAATATAATAAACAGATATAAAAATTAACATTTTAATTAAGTAAAATGTGTGACATCTAGCATCTCTCTTATGACGTGAAGAATTGGTTACAAAAACCTGTTGAAGGATGAAGACATGAAGGACATGAAGGATTGGCTACAAAAACCTGTACTGCTAAAGAAAATGTATTCATGCTCACAAAACGTTATTATAATCCCTGTGACAACTAGTACCAGTCTCCCTTACATTACTGCAAAAAAAAAAAAAATCCCAAGAGCTTGGATGGGATGTATTTATTCAATTTGTTTCACCTTACATTGCAGTGATACGGTATACATCTTGTATATTATTGCCATTTCTAGACGAGCAACAACTGTTATTTACCCATAGCTGCTGCTCTGTGATGTCTGAAGCACTGGTAAATAAATAAATATAATAAACAGATATAAAAATTAACATTTTAATTAAGTAAAATGTGTGACATCTAGCATCTCTCTTATGACGTGAAGGATTGGCTACAAAAACCTGTACTGCTAAAGAAAATGTATTCATGCTCACAAAACGTTATTATAATCCCTGTGACAACTAGTACCAGTCTCCCTTACATTACTGCAAAAAAAAAAAAAATCCCAAGAGCTTGGATGGGATGTATTTATTCAATTTGTTTCACCTTCACATTTTTACTTTATTAAAATGTGATTTTTAAAAATATTTATTTATTCTATTTAATTTTATATTTTAATATTATTTATTTACTTATTATGCTTATTTACAGGTGTCACACATTTCACATGATTAAAATGTGAATTTTTATATCTATTTATTCTATTTATATTTATTTATTTTGTTATATTTTATATTATATTTATTTATTATCATGTTTATTTACATTTTCTTACAAATAAAGATTGTGGGGGTGGCAGGTATCAGTCCCCTGTAGAGCGCTTGAGTTAGTCTCTTCCTCCACAGTAGACACACTGATAGGCCAAACAGCAGCAGGAACAGAAATGCTGCAGACAATCCACAAGCCAGCGCTACAAGTGGATCTAATGGCACAGACACAAATCAAAATCAGCGGCCAGTAACCCTCCCCTCTCACTCAGTGTATCATACAACAGAGAACATGGCTTTGCATTAACTAAAGCTGCTGTGTGACACCATTGAACAGTCTCTTTCTCTCATGCTTTTTAAATAGACGTGTCAGCTGTCTTGTGTTAACACACTTTAGTGGAGACCTGCATGTAAGAGGTGGAGCACATTGTGTTTTTGCTGCTCAAGAAACATAGCATTTCTAGAGCAACAAAAACAACCTGTTTTCTCCTGTATAGGGGATTTACTGCAGCCACCTGGAGGAATACAGTGCGAGTGAACCAGAACTTCCTAACAGGTATTGTAGTTCATTTAATACAGCTCATAGTTCAGAAATTTAAAGTCAAATTTACATAAACTCTTCAAAATTATATATTATATAATAATATACTAAATATTATATATCTCTTTAAGACTTGCAGTGCTTAGGCCATTTAATCAAGGATTTGTACACTAATTAAATGTAAGCAAACAAGCTTAACATTATAGTATTATTTTATGAAAAAATATATATAATATGCATATGTATGTGTGTGTGTGGGCATCAGAAAAACTACACACTCACATATACAGTATATGTACTGTATGTGTGTGTGTGTGTGTGTGTGGTTTTTCTGATTTTATGAAAAAAAATGTAATTTTAACACTTTAAACACACACACACACACACAAATATATCATATAGTATATTTTTTAAAAATCTGAAAAGAATTCTATAATGTTAAGCTAGTTTGCTTACTTTTACATGTAATTAATGTACAGATCCATGTTTAAATATGAGATACTCAGGCCCATGTCGTTCCAAATCTGTATGACTTTCTTTCTTCTGTGAAACATAATAGATTATATTTTGACAAATGTCTTTATATATTTTTTTGTCTATACACTGGTCAGTGGGCTCTGATGTTGTTTTGGACCCCACTGACTTTCATTGTAGGACAATTCCATTCTTTCAAATATCTATTTAAAATATATTTTTATTTTTTGTGCTCAAATGATGACAGAATTTTAATTTTTGGGTGAACTGTCCTTTTAAATAAGTTTTTGACATGCACAATGGTTTCTCAGATGGTAACTACTGGTATCTGTAAGCTAAAAGGGAAAACTTGTATGCATTTAAGCATCTTTATTAGCATTCTCTCATAATTGTGCATTCTAAGGGCACTTTGCCTCACTGGTCAATAATTGTTCAATTGCACATGAAGATTATTAGTGTACAGGGTCACTCAACTGCTCAGCAGTGTCTAATAGCATACCACATTAGCACGCACAGAAATACATGTCGCTATGACAGCACTAGACCCTCATGTCTGGTAAAGAAAGCTTTGGTGCAACTAACACACATAGTACATAATAATGTGTCTGGCACAACTTATTTTAAGTCGCATTAGATGATCAAATATTTGCAGCCTGGTAAAACAGACAATGTCGTCTGTTTGTCTTAAAGATCCACTATCACATAATAATATATCTGTGTAAAACAGGTCTCAAGTATAGTTTGTACAACAGCTTCCAATAATCCTCTACTCACCAGCCATGGATGGCCACAGCTAACTCCTAACTGAATAAAGTCTCTCTTTCTCTCCAGTAGAGCCAGTGTGAATCGCCAATCACCGGTATCTCATTTTGCCCAGAGGCTGTCTCATGGGCTCTCTTCCTGATGTCTCATTGAGAGTAAGCAGTGTCTTCTGTCAGCCCGGTCACCCTACAGCGGGGTACTACAGCCCCCCTGAGGCTTCCCAGGTTAGTTAATCAACACCGTAAACTGGCTCAAGCAAGTGAGCGATATGAGCTCTGCCAGTTGCAGTATTTATATCCAAACAAACACAAAACCTTGATTCAGTCCAGTGAGCAAACTGTGACTATTTACAGGCAATTAGCAAGTTAAAAGGACTTCTTGATAAAAGTGGTAATTGCTGAAAGCTAATCTGAAATGTTTAATTTAACAATGGATGTTACTTCTGTAATATGATTTGATCTCAGTGAATCAGCCACCACAGGGCTCACAGACTGTGGTTTAATAACTACAGACTGAATGTTATGGTGTCTGCAGCAGCTTAGTTTGCATTCACTAAGCGTTAATGAATAACTCTTGGAGAACAGGGGAAGTTTATCAAGGCTGTAATCAGGCAACACGTCTGCTGTTCCCACAATACCTCTAAATGTGGTTAACTTGCATTGAGTTTCTAGACATTTGATTGCAAATGTTAGTTACTTACTGTAAACTCATCCTCAGACACTGTAGCAGAAACCTAAGTGAACCAAGTAAAGTCCAATAAAATTTAATGTGTCAAAGTAACTAATGTTGGATTTTGTCTGGCAAGAGCTAGCTAGCAACAGTGCATGTTAGCACCTTAAAGGGGTCCTATTATGCTCTTTTACAAAGTCTTGATTTTGTTTTGGGGGTGTACTAGAACATGCTCTCATGCAGTTAGCTATCCCAGTGTGTTGTGATTGGCGAACAGCTTAGACGCTGTTTCAGTACTGCCACGCCCCTTGCCAATGGCCATAGCCATATCAATTTGAGCCAGATTCAGACCCCGAGAATATTAAACAAGAGGATCAAATAAGTGCATATGTATTATGTTTATTGTTCTTTAGTTCTAACATTATAACATTGCAGTGAAACTGTTACACAGTTGAATTTATTTATACCATAGTCCAGTGTTTCCCACGGGCTTTCCCGCTATGTGTGGCGGCATATATATGCAAATTCATTCTCTGCCAGCAGGAGGCGCTGTTGGAGTGGTAGCAATCGAGGTTTCCCTGGTAACGGCTGTACACAGGGCAGTGCTCTGCTCACAAACGCGGCTTTATCAGACATTACATGCAAGATGAAATGAAAATTACATCCAGTTTTCTGAAGACAGTGGTTTCCTTCAGAAATACAGTGATATAAAAACACCCAGAAGCACTGACAGAAGCAGAATTGCTTAACAATCCAAAGGGGATTTCATTTAAAGAAATGTGTAAATCATTCTCATTTGGATGCTGCACAAATCTAAAGCCCTTACTGATTCATTTCTGCATGACTACAGTGTTGTAGACCCAAACATTATATGAAATTGTTTGATTTTATCACTTTCTACCACCTATCTGAAATACAATTATTCTTTAAGAAAGAAATGCAGTCATAGAATAACCATATAAAGCTACAGTAGCACACACACACACACACGCACACACACACACACACAGGTTTGTTTTTGTGAAAAGTGGGGACATCCCATAGGCGTAATGGTTTTTCTGCTGTACAGACCATATATTCTATTGCTCTACACCAACCCTACCCCTAAACCTATCCCTCACAGGAAACTTTGTGCTATTTCAGATTTTCAATACACTCCATTCTGTGTGATTTATATGCGCTTTGAAAAGTGGGGACATGGGGTAATGTCCTGAAAAGTCACCTTCTCCTTGTAATACCTATGTCATACCCTTGTCATTATACAAATTTATGTCCTCATTTGTCACAAAAACGCGCGCGCACACACACACACAATTAATTTATATTAAATAGATAGATAGATAGATAGATAGATAGATAGATAACCTCAGCATGTTTATACACAAAACAACATGTCAGGATTTTGCCTTTGCTTAACCTCTGAACCTGAATTATTATGGAACAGGTAACCTGTGAGTTTGAAATGCCATATGGAGGTGAATAAGAAAAATGAGTCACAGACATATATCATAATGGTTTCCCGGCACCACAAGCCCTTCTTTCAAAAAGACTGTTTTCATTGTTCCCATGACAACTTTAAAAAAAAAAAAAAGACATGAAGAAAATTCATTGGTCTCCTATTGAGCATGGCTGTTTCTATAGCAACAGGAAGAGAGAGAATGGATGAGTAAACGGCAGGAGCTACGAGTGTGTGAGAATGAACATGTGTGCGTAAGAAATATAGACAAGAGTATTTATTGTATTAATTTGGAAGGATAACAGATTTATTTTTGTGACATATCAATATTATCTACCTGTTCTTCCTCTAAATCCCAACCTTCACCCCATACACACACTTTCACACAATTGTGCCCCCTCCATTGGGCATATAGCGCTTCTTGCCTTCCCACCATTTCTGTCTGTGTGTCTTTGCACCTCCTCCCCCCTCCATTGTGGATTTCCTCTCAGAGAGGGAGCGTGTGGTGTGTAATCAGATGACAACGACTGATAATCCAGCAATACACTTATACTGTCCTGTTCACTTAGAGCGGAGCGAGAGAGCAAGAGTGGAGGAGAGGAAAGAAGTGAAGGAGGCGGGAGCCGTCTGGGCAGAGGGGAAGGAGACGAGAGGAGGAAGTGGGAGGTATGTACGTGTGCATGTGTGTGCATGGAGGGAGGGAGGTTGTTGACTTACCTGTGGCCATGAGGGAAACCACAGCTGTGTCTTCATAAAGCAAGTGCTGCTCAATGTGAAAAGAAATGGTAAAACGAAGCTTTAAAAAAGAGAATTGAAGATGACAAGGAAGGAAAGACAAAGGGTGACACAAGGCCTTGACTGGACCATGTATGTTTGCTAGTAAAAACCAAAAGGTGAGATTTTTCTTGTTTGATTTTCTTGTAGGGGATGAGAGTTTCACTGGAGTGTTTATATTTACGTGTGTGTGTGTGTGTCACAGTCTGGCGCTAGTACAGGTGTATGGTTGTCTACAAGGATGGAGGTTAGACTGTGGGTTTAGGTGGAAGAACACCTTGTCTGTTATTTTTAGATTCAGTGGGAAGATAAGTATCTTGTTTTCCCATGATAACTGTGGAGAGATAACATCTGCCATTCTGCTAGAGTTTCGGTCATTTGTACAGGTTATTTTCGAGATTTTTATTATTTTGAAACATTCACGAAATGATGTACTTCTCAGTATTAAATATTGTTAAATAGCTGTAAATAAAACTAGTTGAAAACTTATTTCACAGTAGTGCTACCCTGCAGATTCAAAAAAAGTGCTTATGCAGGCTTATTTTTAATGTTTTATAATTTTATGATAATATATTTTTTGCTGATTTTTTGCAGCCTATGTGATGGATGATGAACACTGGCTTTGACACACATGGGCTTTCGATTTGCTGTTCCCATGGAACCAAACACCTTTTCTTGAGAACATGAGAACAATTATAGGCCGTGCAAAAGTCTATTACACACTTAGGTAGATGAAAGCATAGTCAAATTCACTACAACATTACAACAAACACACAAGGGTTCAGAAATTTGTAGAACTTTTTGAATGTTGCGTGTTCCAATTCTGCAGAAATCTGCTGTGCTTTCTTCAGAGTTCTGCATATGCAGATTCTGTGTGGGCAGCCTTGGAAGTTTATATTATTTTTATGGTATGATTCAACAAGTAGTCACAGGGACGTAAACAGATGGTGATGGCCTAATGATTAAGAATCCGAGCAGATAACACAAAGGTTGCAAGGTTTACTCCTGTCCTGTCAGTTCTGAAATGCCAGTGTCTTTGAGGCACTTAACCTCTAGTTGCTTCACAGGTAATATTGCTTCACTTAGTCCACTGCAAGTTGCTTTAAAAAGGCACCTTGATGGCAAGTAACCACTACTTGAAGTGTGCCTTGAATAACTGTACAGATCAGAGTGTGAGTGTGCTGTAGTTTGGAGTCAGCAGTATGTGTGTGTTGACAGTAGGGAGTGACAGACCCAAAAGTGTCTCCCAAAAAATCTGCTGGAGTGGCTGAAGTGTGATGTAAACATGAACAGGCCTGACACACATTCACTCATTGCTCTCAAGAGTTCCTAAAAATGAGAAACACACTCTTACAGTCATGATTTGCACCTTAAAGTATGGCACAGTTTGTAAATTTAAACCTACAGTCCTTATGGGACCATGTGGAGTGGAATCAGCCACCTGTGCTGGAGCACCATGTGGATTAATGTCCTGAGAGGAGCTGACATACCCATGTTGTAGCTAATGATCTGAAGACTGAAGTTGGGCTTATCCGTCTGTAATCTGGTCAATCATTCAAGGGAGATATTCCTAGGGATCTCCCTGTCCTATTCACTTTAATCTATGTGCAGTAAGGACAAAATAAATCTCAGCTTTATCTATCGTAAAAGTAAAGGTTTAAGGGTCTTTCAGATTCATCAGATTTAATGGATTGCCTAGTAGACAACTAAAGAGAGGAAGAATTGGTGTGCCGTTTTATCTTGAGAAACTTATAATTGTTTAAAATATATAGTGTGAATAATTAAGTTTTAAATATGAATTATATACTTTTCATAATTAGTTTATAATTGTATGTCCTTCTTTACCAGTAGATATTTCACTATGGAGGAAGGACAACGACCTACATCTGAGATCTACCTCCCAAGCATCAGTCTTGGATCTGTGGACGCTGAAACAGTGCAGGACCATGAGCTGCCAATTATTTCTTTATCCAAAAGCTCGACAGAAATGGTGAGTGGACCTCCTCAACGAAGGGAGCTGGCATGGTACAGTCAGAACTTGCGTAAGAGTGTAAGCAGTGCAGCATGTACTCAAAGGCCTATCAGTCTGGGTGGACCATCGACGGGAGTCCCTGTGAACATTTGTGACCATGAACAGGGGAGCATGTGCAGTGGCAACAGCACCCCTGAGACTGTAATCTGGCATGGAGGAACTGCAAGATCCTGGAGCTTCATGGAGGACTCACCCAGAAGGACTCTAACGCAAGATCCACTCCTGGGGCAAAATCAGGTCCATAGTGGTGTGAAGTGTGTGCCACACGCACCATCCACAAATAAGGATTTAAGGATGAAGGGTCTGGTGTGCAGAGAGGGATGTTGTCGATGTTGCGGACCTGCAGAGAACCTGACAGGATGCAGCTGTTGCAGAGTGCCTTGTAGAATGAGTTCTTCGCGTCTTAGCAACAACTTCACACCACAGGGAGCAAATACAGAAGACCATGCTCAGAGCAACTGCGAAAGCCATCATTTAACTGCATGCCATAGATCTACCTTTTCTGGACACATGATAAGCACTGCCTGTTTGAGGAATACTTGCAGTGTTGTTCCATGCCCTGGACATTTGATATCACGGCCACCTTGTGCAGGAAGCCCTTGTGCAGGACAAAGATCACTGCTCCATTCAGGCTTGCTCGGTTTTCCACCACTTGTGTCCTCAGTCAGCGAGACCAGACTTGACAGCCGGAGTACAGGCCATTGCTGTGGATCCGAGTTAAGAGGGCAGAATTCTTCCTGCCTTAGACTAGACAGAACAGGCCAGACTGGCTTTAACAGGGCAGTCAAAGATGCCACTACTATGACATCTGACCATGAGCTCAGAGATGTTGGTGTGCAGACTGTGTCTGATCCCCTTGCTTCCCCTCTTTCTCACGTATTACCTGAAATTAGTTTGAGAGTGGATCCTACCTTGGACGCACCTTTGACCATGGAACACATGTGTTACAGGACCCCTGTGAAGGAGGTGGAATGGGATGCTGAGGGTATGACCTGGGAGGTGTATGGTGCAGCTGTGGACCCTGAAGAGCTTGGCCTAGCAATCCAAAGGCATCTGGAAGTTCAGATCAAAGAGACTGCAGCTGCTGCAGCTGCAGCTGCGGCTGCTCAAATGGAAGACTCCACGGACAATGTCAGCAGCCTGGCACTGCAGCCCAGGCAACGGAAGAAGAGCGAAGGCATTATAAGAACACTGCGCAGTTCAGCGTGTTGCTCTAACCCCAGTACTGTGGGAGACTGAAGTAATCAGTGAAGGACCGGAGCTTGTCTTTTCAGTATGTGGATGCCTAGAAAAGGTAAAACAGAAAGGTACAGGCTTTTGCTGGAAGGTGGAAATGGATTGAGAATAGCCCGTGGCATATATATTTATTTAGCTAAAGCAAATTTTCCTTCAAATAATATCTCTAAATATTCCAAAGCCTTGTCCGTTTAGTTGAAGCTATTAAAGCTCCACTATTGGATCAGTAGAGCAGTGATGTTTGGAGTTACATTGCAAGCTAGCGTTGCATTGAGCTACCATGCAAAGTTTACATATAATGGTGTGTTTCTACCTACCTTCACACATGGCCTTGTCCCTGTCTTGACCTCCAATTTATCTTTTAGATGCCCCTTTTGGCTCGAAATACCAAAATGATGATTTTGGTAAGCACTGAGTATTATCTTTTTTTTTTTTTTATGCTAATTATAGGCTAAAAATGTCTGGTTGCACTAGTTGGATTTTGTCAAGCAAACAACAGATTACTGAACATTAGCTAGGGATACATTAAAATTAGAGGAACTCTTGGACACCCCGAAGGGCTCCCTGGAGCAGATCTGAAGGCTAGTTCTAGTTAGTCTACGCGCTAGCCCTCAAATCATGATGGATTTAGATTTCTTTGTTTTCTGTTCTCACAGATTCATGATGTTAAACCCTTTGTAGTCAATGACAATCCAACAGCATTAAATGGCAGAAATTTCAGCTTAATTTTTTGTCAGTTATTTCTTGCCAGATTCTATGGATAGAATTCTATAGAAACATAATTTACAAACAACTATCAACTTACAACCATTTATGTTGTTACTGAATTCACTGATCTTGATGCAAATGGTGATTGGTCCAGTGATGGTTTTGCCTGGTGGATTAGAGTGGGCTCAAGGCCAAAATCAATCCACAGAGCTAAAAAAATATGAATGCTCATGAGGTCTGTGGGTGTGTAAAGCTAGGTTCTTATCAGGCCTACTGATGATTAGCAAATATAGATTCAAGGTCAATGTTCCTGCACTTATATAGTACATTATGAGCTAAAACTAAGCCCCAGTCTTGGTTCTATGCTCAGGGACAATCTCAATCAATTCAAAAAGAAAAACATGTACACTTTGATTCTGGTGCCAAAATCTGACCTGAAAAAAAAAAAAGCATAATCTCACCACTATTTTCACATCACAACTTAATTATGGAGAATATTTTGTGTTTGCATTCTTTCTGTTCAGAAACAGTGTGAGGACAAAGATAATTATGGTCATTTTCACATCATTTTACATATTCATAAATCTTTTTTGTTATATAATATCATTAATGTTTATAGTTTGTTCATTATAATGTTAAAATATTAAAGTTAAAATGTTTCATATGACATTCAGTGTAAGAGTTTGATTTTTTAAATATATATCATAATCACATGTGCTATATCACGACTATATCTTATACAGAATCAGTCATGGTTTTGTGAAAGTTATGGATTGTATTTAGAGCAATCTCAATAATGTTTAGATTATATTCATTTAAATAGCATGACACTTATTGTAGGTAAGTAAATGTGTATACAGAATCTCTGACCAAATCAACAGTATACTGTGCTGCACAAACTGCTTTTGTTTTCTTTGCCAAAGCAATCTGATTTATTTTTTGGACCACAGCATTGTGATTTAAAATAATATAGATATTACTGGATCAACACCTTACAGTATGATGAAAACAAGCTTTATGTAAGCTTTCTACAGAAAAAAACGTACACTAATGTGTTCTAATATTGAGAATACTGAATGTCTTGAAATGTATGAGCAACAATAAAGCGTTTGGTAAACAATGTTCTGTGTCTGTTCTTTTAAAACAGTACAGTAAGTGTTGTTTATGTTAGAATAATTTGCCCAAAGACAATGGGATTTCTCACTGGCTCACTCAGTGTTGCCAATTTAGCAATTTTGTTGCTAGATTTAGCAACTTTTCAGACTACCCTAGCAACTTTTTCTTCCAAAAGCACCTAGCAACAAATTTAGCTATTTTTTATTTATTTATTTGGCAACATTTAGCAACTTTTAGCAACAAATCAACCTTCCTTTAGCAACTTCCCCTGAAAATTAGTTGGCAACACTGGGCTCACTGGCAATGACATTTCTCTTTGTTTGTGAAGAACACTGACAAAAAGTGGGGCATGAGAACATGTCAGAAGTTCCTGCTAAACTTGGTGAACTGTGTTCCAGTAGATTGCCCTGGACATTTCCATGGCTCTTTCATTGTAATTTTGACCAATTGGTTGAGCAGGCACATCCCCTGTTATTGACTGCCCCTGAACAGGTGCTCCCTTCTGTTTTGTTTTCCTTGCTGTACCGTATTTCACAGTTTGGAGTAAATACAACAGGTGAGCAGGGACACATCATAAACTAACATAATAAAACTCCCTTCAGTCTGAATATAGTCAAATGCATATAGTAATTAATATCTCAGCATCTCCTGTCTTAAAATCTGCTCCACCAGAACAAAAAACTTAAGTAGGTTTCACAGGCCCTGTTGCATCTTTGTATTCTGGTTCTTATGCCCTCTGCTGGTAACATGAGAAACATATTCACACTACTATCAAATCACACAAACTATAATATAAAAACCTTTCCTGTCTTGTACTCAAAGAAGTTTAGCTAAAGCTCTGAGTAAGAATAACTGTAAAACCTATTATGAAAATGAAGTGGTGTGTAGGCCTAGTAGTTTAATATAGAGTTGAAAAGTTACATGCGTATCTGCAAGGTACAAGCTATGAACAATAACCATTGTGCCCTTGATCAAGGCTCTTATCGCCACATTGCTCCAAGGGGATTGTTGCTGTAATGAGTGGACTGTAAGTCACTTAATGAGTATTGAGATAAATGAGTGCTTACTAAAAACAGGTTCTGCTAATCTTTAATGAAATGAATATATAAACGACACAGTTCAGTCATGATCCTGTTAATTATTTATCAGGGTTTTCCAAGGTATAACTTGGGTTCTGAAAGGTTTCGGAAAGCAATAGAAGGTCAGCACCTCTCCGCGTCCAAACAGCTATTAGCATGGCGTGACTATAAGGAGGTTACTGGCAATCTATTCTGGGCACTGTTTTGCAAAGTGGCAAGGGACGGGCTGTAGCTGAAAGTGCTGATGGGACTCCCATGATCCCATGGGGCCAGCTTGTTCCGAAAACCCCCAGCTAACCTACCAGAACAATCCAGGATTGGGAGGGGTATTGTCAAAGTGCTTTGTCCCAATGACAGAGGCGTGGAGTGCACAAAGGATGGGCCCTGCACCAGGCACGGTATAAATGGGTCATCTCCAATGCGCAACACATTTTACTGTAGATCATGGCAGTAAGAAGCCCATTTTGTCCACTGTTGCTAATGCTGCTGGGTCTGGCGTTGGACAGAGCCTCCACCCATGCATTCAACCCTAGTCGCCTTCAACAGCACAAAGTCCTCTTCCTCGGTGAGAAACTAAATGAAAGCTGACCATTGACATCTTTCAAGTGCATTACAAGTGTTGAAAAACTGTATTTACACTTATTTCTATGTCCTTCTCAAAGATCCAAATATGGATTTCCTTTCCTTCTTTCCTCTCCTGGTACAACACCTTTCATTTGCTTCCTCACAAATCCTGTGTACCTTGTGTTTGCTTGTCTTCATGGGACTTTAACTGACATTGACTTAAGTGTTGTTCTGTCCTTAGACTGGCCGAAGGACTGTGGCCTGGCTCATTTCAAACCGAACACTGTGGAGCGTATCGTGTCAGGCAACGAAGCAAGACCCCACTCCTGGCCGTGGCAGGTCTCACTGCAGGTAAATTCCACTTGAAATGACACAGCATTACTCGAGGTACAACAAAAGAAGAAGTCACTTAAGCTTGTATCTATTTTTATAGGTTCGTCCTAGAGGCAGTAAACATTATGTTCATGTGTGTGGAGGGACTCTGATCCATAAGAACTGGGTTCTTACTGCTGCTCACTGCTTTCAGAAGTAAGCCAAATCATCCATTTACCCCAGTAGAGGCAGAACTTGCTTGAATTTATGCAGGGCAATGTTCTTGGTTGTTTTCCCCTGACGACGGCTCTGCCTAAGAGTCATTAGGTGCTCAAAGGCCTAATCAGCTGATCACAGTGTGTTAAGTTCCTATCTTTGTGCTCTTCACTGCCCAGGGGAAAAGCAGAGGATGCTAGTAGCTGGCGTATCGTTTTGGGTAAGCATCAACTGAAAAGAGCAGAGTCCGCTGAGCGTATTTTCCTAGTGAAGAGGATCTACAGGCATGAGCACTTCCGTTATCCAGCCCACAGTGAGCTGGACTATGACATCGCATTGGTTAAAGCTGCCACAGACATTCAGACCAGTAACGTCATCCGCTATGCCTGCCTGCCGCGCAAGCAGATCAACCTTAAACCAGGGCACTACTGTTGGGTGACTGGCTGGGGGGACACACGAGGTAAAAACTGCATTATACGCCTTTGACCTTCATGTAGTAAAATAAGAACTTTTTGTGAAAGTTGGGCCTTGAAATATGATGGCTGGATAATTTATGAAATCATCAGCTCATAGATAAAATGTAGAGTGTACAGTAACACCGTACCCCACTGCAGTTTCTACAATATAACCTAGTTTATTTTACGTCCCTGAGGCAAAAACAAAGTACTTTAACGTTTTGTTGATATCATTGAATTTACAAAGGGAGGTGATCCACTTATCTAGAATATGGCTTTGGCATCTCTTCTTCCTCTGTAAATCTTAGGTGGGAAAGAAAATGTGTCACTTGCTGAGGCTCTGAACCAAGCTCAGCTCCCAGTCATTGACTATAAGACCTGTCGGCAGAAGAAGTTCTGGGGTGACCGTGTGAGAGACTCCATGATTTGTGCTGGGTTCCGAGATACAGAGGGGACCCCAGCCGCATGCCAGGTGAGAAAAGTTTTATGGGAAAATTCATCAAGGTGCCCCATCTTTAGCTCTATTCATACCTTCTGTGTGGCTCTTCTTCTTATAGGGTGACTCTGGTGGCCCTCTGCTGTGCCAGGTGGGGCGTGACCACTGGGAGGTCCACGGCATTGTGAGCTTTGGTCCTATCGGATGCATGGTGGAGAACAAGCCCAGTGTCTTCACTCGCACCACAGCCTACATCCCATGGATAGAGGCCACACGCATCAGGGACTTCTTCTTGCACTAAATTCCAACCTCAAAGAATTCCTTGCCCATATTTGTAGGCAAAGGAAGAGTCGTAATAGCAACAGATTTAGTGCCATGTCCCGGGTCTGGGTCTGGCCCATGAAACTGCTCATCCATTTGTGGTCTGTGCGCTGGGAGCTGGTGTACAGCATCACAAACACCAACCACCAGGTTAGGGTAGTTTGCACCGGCTTGTGGATTGTTTCACCGCTATGCATGTGACATGGGCTTCGCTGTAGTACCCCAACTGCAAAGTTTTAACTGCTTTTAGCTAAATCACATTCGGCAAGCCAAGAAACATCTGTAAAATAAGTCCTGGCTATTCAGCATTGCATTACACTCATCAGTTCAGTTGGCCTCGTTTTTTTTCTGTAAGGACTGGCACATACATTTGCCCTATCACAGGCAGTCCAACATTCAGTTCTTAAGGTGCTCTGACGGTCAGCATCAAGAAGAGACTTTCTCCCTTAAGAACAGTCTAACTGCAGTGGTTTTCACTGAACAGTGCAGATAATTTCCACACAGGATGGAAATTTATCCTTTATATTTTACACTTTAAGCCGCTCTAAGGAATTTATCCATATAATTTCTATAAATTCCTTCATTTTAATCTGTATGATCAGTATTTTGATAGGGAGTTTTAATTATTGTATCATTTAATCTATGCATCTATGGCTCACAATTATTCAAACTACATGGAGAGTTTGGGATAGTGGTATAATACTGCTCAAATAATAGGATGAGTAACCAATGATTATTCTGGTTGAGGTATATCACTGAAAGGAATTTTTAAAATGCTTTCACTCTGAAAAACATGACCATGTGTGCATATCGTTACATGGACATGCATTCTGGATTATAATTATCATTCATCTGTACTCATTGACTGTTGAAATCAAGGTTGATCTGCTTACAAATAAATAATTTATAAAAACTTTATTTGCAAACTTTTTTAAATGTCTTGGAATCTGAACATGGTTAAATTATTTTAAGTTTTTTAATTTAATTTTATTTAGAGCTACGTGAATACAGGATGGTGTAGTGCTTAATCGTCTAACTCAGTGGTTCCCAACCCTGGTCTTGGAGGCACCCCAACACTGCACATTTTGCATGTCTCCTTTCTCTGACGCACCAATTTCAGATCTTGAAGTCTCTACTAATGAGCTGATGACCTGAATCAGGTGTGTTTGATTAAGGAGACATGCAAAACGTGCAGTGTTGGGGTGCCTCCAGGACCAGGGTTGGGAACCACTGATCTAACTCCCAGTACGAAAGACTGACCATTCATGCCCAGCAAACACAAATTTTGTATTACACAACTCACTTATTTTTATATCCCTACACAAAGCAAATGAAGAGTCTCAAAAAGTGGAAACTTGTATTTTATCATTGATGGTTTCCGAGAGGATGTAGCCAGTTTAGTCAGCACTGACAAAATGCATCAATCCACAACGAGATCAGGAAAAAACTCATGATTAAAGGATACAGAGTTCCTGTTACTTACACCAACAAAGACATGTACATGAATGACTGAGATGTTACCAGCGAACACACCTGAAGGCAGTCTGGCTCTTCCATTTAAATATGAAATTTAATGTAACTCTGAAGAAGTCTGTACACGTGTGATGGTCCATGGGTTTCATAAAGAAGAAATGGGTGCATTTCCAAAAGGGGGTCATAAAAACTAAGAATGGGCTCAGAGTCAAAATAAGTCCATGGTTTGAGCTCTCAGTCATCCTCAGTAATGTGAAGGCGATGTCCCCTTCAGGTGATCCCAGTTGTTGTAAAGAGCATACAGCCCTGACATGGCTAAACCAATGAGACCTCCTCTGGCAGCTCCTTTGAGTCCAGCTGAACAAAATAAATATAAATTTATATAAATAAAAACAATAAACATTATGTTCATTTGATTAAATCAGTGATAGCCATGATATTTAGCACTAAAGTCAATGTCACTTTTCCTCACCTGTGGATTTAAAAAGCATCCCTGTTAATGTTCCAGCTGCCACTGTGTTGAGATCATCCTCTGCGCCCCTGGCCTTCTCAATAGCCACACCAAACACACTATACAAAAGAGCTATTGAGAAAGAGAAACCAACATTGTATTATGCACGAGTCTCTTCAATTAATTACAAAGCAGTTTGTGATATTCTTTTACACAAGCTGTTTGAATTCAATGCATTTCTTACCCACAGATCCTAGTGTGTTCGCCCATGACGCGCCATGTCTTGTGACCATGTTCAAAATTCTGACAGAACATAACAAAGGTCAGTATTACAGTAGAATTATGGGTAATAAACAATGGATAAACGGTTTAAGTCAATATAACTTAAAAATTGTAGTGATGCACCAAAAAAAGTTTTTATGGAAACACCAAGTGTTTAAAGTTTTAATTTAACCAACAACCAAAAAAACCCCTGCTCTTCAGAGTGTTGTGTTCACAGGTGATAAACCAGTCGTAATAAAGTTTTCAGCAAGGTGCCGCCTCTTTAGACAAACAAATTGTACTTATCAATACTCTAGCATCATTTTTGGTCATGGTGAAGTTTACCTGTTGTAGCTTATCCACAATGTGTGTGAAAAGCAGATGCTGACACAGTCAAAACGTATCATTGCAGAAGCACTAATTAACAAAAAGTGCCCGGTCAATGATTTCGGATGAATATTTTTAGTTGCTGAAATTTTGGTGTGTCACTAGTAATAAGTGTTCTCTGCATTGCAGCAAACTTGTTAGAAATAAGCTGCATCACATCAACATTATACCAGCGACTGATATTCGAAAAGATCCTAACTGAATTTTCTATACGGTAACTTAAATAATTTCTAATCAAAGTTTACAAAGGAGCAGACACTTACTGTACGTTTCTGGGTTTTGACCACGGCATGCCTCTAGTTTCTGTCAGGCCCATACGGAGACCATTAAGTGTCCCAAAAGCAGTGCCTTTAAAGAAACAAACAACAGTTAAAACGGGTGATGATTAAAGACAAAGGATTGATCAAAGACTGCAAAGTGACAGGCCTCACCTGTTATACAGCATCCCCCGATGGTGAAGAAGGCCAGCTCAAAGCGACCACGGGTTTTATTTGCCCCGGTTGGCAAGATAAACTCCTCTGTGTCCTAAAAGAGCAAGACAAGCAACAAAATGGTATCTTAAATGTAAAGGATTTTTGTATTACTATAATTCCAATATCATAATTTTTTGTAATAGCTTGTATAAACAAGTGAACACAATATAATCACACTAGCATACATTAGGGCATGGGTCAACTAATAAATGCAGATTTTAATAAAAAGTTAAAAACATATTCTCAGGAAAACTGATATTTTACAAAAAAAAGTCAGGTATTATAAAAATGTGCAATTTATTAATTATAGTTGGTGGCCAAAACAATATTCTGATTTTTTTTTTTTTTTGCATGTTACCATTGCTGTTTAATTAATTGTTTGGGGTTTCATAATTAATTTAGCATTTCTTTTTTGCCATTAATTAGCCTACAGCAAGTTCATATTGTGACAGCTTACCCCTTATTTCAGTCAATTACGCCTCTAACATGTGTTTGACTTTGTCAGTTAATTTCTCATTTCTACAACGGAAACCTTTAAATAGGTCTGAAATGTAACTACGGACTTACAGAAACTCACCTGTAAAAGGTAACGAGGGTCAACATTGAGGTAGGGTGAGAGAGGGCTCATACCAGTCACTGAAAATGAAAGATAACTTCTCATTATACATTATCAAAAATTAATAGATACTCAAAGTAACTAATCAGACCATAATGTGAATCAGACTGTTACAGTAAGTACACATTAGCCTCACACTGTAGCACTTACATGGTACTCCTGCGAGCTCAGTATTTGAATACTCAGGGGTTCCACCACCGAACAGGCTCCCGAGTCCCCCTTTAAATCCTCCTGATGCCGGTGTGTTATTATCCATGTCTTCAGAGATGATACAGAGAAAACAGACTCGATGATCAGACTTCTTCTTTACCGACCAACGTAAAAATGATGGACGTTAACGACACCAAACGATTTGCTTTATCGACAGTGTTGTGTTGTGTTGTATACCGTCTGTTGAAAATCCTACACAGATGTCACTGCGCTGAGTTGTCAATTGTTGATGTTTGATAATTAGACCGTTTTCAGGCTCTGACCGAGCGATTCCGTATCTCTGACCTCCACATGCTGCCTTGCCATAAAGTGAAAGGACGCCGCTGACGTAACACTGCCGTAAAATTACTCGCGTGATTGCTGAAGATTTCATTAATCAGTCATGTATACATGTATTACATTATAATATTAACAAATATTAGTTTGCTAAAATGAAATATGTTATATCGATATGAAAAGTATGCAATATCGTCCTGAGGCTATTGGTGTTTGAGACATAGATATGTATACATATCTATGGTTTGAGAGATTTCAACGGTCCTTACAGTTGATTACATGACATTTTGCGACCGTCCGTGTTTTGTTGCGAAAGGGAGATTTATTTTATTTTTATCTATTTATTTATATATATTTTTTCAGGACAAGAAAAAGATATACAAACTTAAGTAACATTCATGATAGTAGCACAATAAATTAAAACAGATAAAGAAAAAACGTTATGGGAGTAAAATTAAAGTAAACATGTTGCTGTCAGAGGTCTGTACTTGCTGTATCAGAAATACATTTTAATGTTAATATGAAGTGAGTTTTTATGAGAAAAAAATAGGCAACAACAGAAGACAACAGAAGAGCAACAACTAAAAACTTAAAACTATAATTACAGTAAATTATACAGGGACGTTTCACAGTAGAGGGCTTTTGAAATAATTTCTAATAATAATAAAATATAACTATATTAAATAATTACAGTAAATTATACAGAAACGTTTCACAGTAGAGGGCTTTTAAAATAATTCTAATAATAATAAATAAAATATAAATATATTAAATTAAAATAATAATGAAATAATATTATTATTACTATGTATGTATGTATGTACATATAAATTAATTAATTAATATATATATGTACATACATAAATTAATATAATCCAATTCTGGTGTTATGATATCCTGTTTATTATTTACAGCTACTTTGGTATGTGATGTTAATTTTACGGGTAAATTATTTCATTTAAATGATTCAGTTTGAATTATTTATACTGTATGTTGGATATGGTTGGAGAAGAAAACGCTCGCATAAAGTAACAAAATTCCCTGAATCTCTGACACCAGTGATGACGCTTTCCCACTAGATGGAAGACGAGGACAAGTTTCAAAAGGTTTCTGGTGGACTATTTTGACTTTTTTTTTTCCCTTAAACAGTTGGTTAGGGTTTTTCTTCTTCTTTTCAACTGATTTGTTTGTTTGGGTGGGGGAAAAGATCTACCTCACACCGAATCGTGTGCCACAATAAAGCATGTCCCGTGATGCATTCTTGAAAGCACAAATGGTTGTTTAGCACCATAAAGGTTGTGTTCTGATCCTCCTAGCTCATATGAGATTTAAGAGGAATTCGCCGTGTGGGAGGATTCTGAAGCAGAATTCTATCACCATAGCTAATTTTTTTCTGTCTCTTTCTATTCCACCCCTTGAGGTGGAGCAATAACGTTTGCCATTGTTGTCATTCTGTGAGCTCAGACTTCCTGGCATCCACACTAAATTACCCAGGGCTTTCTGTGGGAGCAGAAATGGCTCACTGTTCCCCAACAAAAAGACCATTCACAGTCAGTGGAAGGCCTCCTATAGACAGCCCACAGTGCTGAAGAGAACCAGAGGCAGCCGAATAGAGACAGGCACCCCGAGGAACGCTGGGAAATGACCGTAATGTCATAATGGATTCATCTCACAAAATATCTTTTAAAAATAAGCATTTATGTTTTATCATGACGCTTTGTTGTCAGCATTATATTGAGAGTTTTGTGCCAAAATTTCAACACAACAA